GATTTTTAAGTAAAACAAAATGTTTTGCATAAATATTATTTTTTGACTTTTATAGAAGGTTTATCCTTTATTTATTACTTCTTGTTGCTTCTCTTTCTATGTCGTATTATTGATATTGAATTTATTACCTCTTGTTGCCTTTTTCGTGTGTGTTGTGAAGTGGCGGGAGTTAGTTAACACAATCTTTACAGTCTGACGAAGGCCGTCTGCTCTAAATGTCGCACAAAATAAAACTAGGAAATGTTTTCATTTAAAGTGGGATTAGTTGTGTTAGATACATCTCGTAGTATGTTTACTGTATTAATTTTATTTTTATTACGTTTATTATTGTTATATTTTAATTAAAGAAACAATATTCTAGCTATTTGTTGTATGATTCAGGCATTAATTTAATTTGAGGTATACCCAATTTTTTTCTTATTGTTAATTTCATTATCAGCTTTGTTTGAGATATTTAATATATCCCATTGTATTATTTGTAATTTTAATTCTTCTTATTATACTTTTCTTATAGAGATTATTTTGTTTTTTTTATCTTAATATATATATATCTAAGACAAACCTAAATCTCCTAGGGTGGCCAAACCTCGTGAGCTATCATTGAGTTTACACCCGGAAATATCATAAATAGCTAGGGTATTCAATTGATGAAACCATAGATATAAATAACTGGAAGTCACGTGATTGGGGTATGCGCAACCGGCCGCCATTGCTAGGTGTTGAACTTTCAAAGTCCGCTAGTCGAACTGACAATGGCAAGGAAATCTCACCTCATAATTTATGTCCGTTTTCCATCTACGTTATAATTATTTTGTTATTTGATTTTAATAAATGTGTCAAGCCAAGATGATCTAAACCTGATTTTAATTTAGAAATTAGTGCAAATATCGTTCACATAACACACATATCTGACCTGTCATATGAAGAATGCATTGGATTTTAGGCCAGAGGGAAATCTTAAGATTAAAATCTGTTCTTTTTTCCTCGGTAGTTATTATGTGACACAGAAAAATATAATTCTCAAATATTTTTTCCAATGGACAAGAAGTGACACATCATGGCCTTGTTCAAGGTTGGAGAAAAATGTTATTTATGTATCTGCACCTACAAACATTCAACATTCGTAGTTGAAGTGGATGGAAATAATTAAGAAAATTTATTATATAAATATAATAAAATTCATTCGGATTTATTTGAGAATTTGTGGCAAAAATTGATACAAATGCTTGAAAAAATGTATAAATACAACATGAAATCCAAAAGAAGTAACACAAATCATTACACCTACTTCATCAATGATGCATTACATATACTGTACTAGATCTAAAGACAATCAATTTTGCAATGTTACTCTTTTAAAGATTCTCCTTTTCCTTTTTATTTACTGAGTTATGAAGGAATGGTCATGTTCTCCTCCCCTCCCTTCACCTACTACTAGATCATTTTGGATCCGATCCTTTTCCCTCCAAATAGTCCCTGCAAAGTATTATAAGTAAAAGCTTGAAGTGTAAAAAAAAACTTTGCAACAACCTTCCAATTCTAATTGCAGCTTAATTCATGTACGTAACCAGTCTCTTATTGTAAAGAGAGAGAGAGAGAAAAAAAAAATCCTCAGGTTACTGTAAATTTATCGTCATGGTGAAACCCAGTTTAAGATATTTCACTAATATTGTTATTTTATAATCAGAACAAAATCTTTTGGATGAAATGCTAACATTCTCCTCATTAGAACAGTGGCTCTCAAGATCACCCTGCTTAAGACCAAAATATCATTCCCCATAGTGGGATTCACCTTTGAATGTTGACATAACAAAGTCAGGTTACTTAGTGATAAGCCTCAAGAAAATTCAATATCAGTAATAAGACATAGAAAGAGAAGCAACAAGAAGTAATAAATATGAAAAATACAGTAACCAATTATGGGATTTTATACCATATATGGAACAGTTATATAGCTAGTATTAACTATACATAATAAAGGCTTAAATAACAGGAGGTAAAACTAATATAATGAAATGCATTAAAGTGATTCGCGAGCACCTAAAATTATTTCCAAAGGATCTAAACCCAAATTTAATAGCTAGAATTTTGTGTTTAAAATGCGTTAGGAGAAACCTCGTTTGTTAAAAATAAAAATGACTTTACAACTCTGTCCATGATGTATTATAATGTTGAACAAATTACATTGTACCTAATAAGCTGTCTGTGGTAAACATTGCAATACAACTTATATGAAATATTAGGATGTTTTATTAATTATTCTAATATCTAAGTTCTGGTAGTGGGCTTTGTTTTTATTGAAAGAATTTTTCTCAAGGGTGAATTCAGGTGGATAAATATGTTCGACTGTGTCAAGAAAATCTTGATAATTGGGTGTAAGAATATTATCAACTAGCTGGAATACCCACCCCCTGGACGGAAGTTATGTAAATTCATGATTAATGACAGGTTATCTTAGGACATGAAAACCTGCTTCCATTATATGTAATTGTAAAAAAAACGCAAAAACGCCCATAAAAACTGCAAAACACAAAAAAAAGTGAAATGTTCATGTATCTCTACATGGTCCCAACAAACCTTCATGCCAAATTTGATGAAGATCCATCAACAGTGGGTGAACTAGTGATGAAAAACGCCCATAAAAACCGCAAAACTGAAAATTTTCATGCATCTCCCCATGGTTCCAACAAACCGCCATACCAAATTTGGTGAAGATCCATTTACAGCGTCAAAGTAGTGGTAAAAAAAACGACCATAAATACCGCAAAATTGAAAATTGTAAGTAGCTCCGCATGGACCTAATTAACCTCCATACCAATTTTGGTGAAGATCCATTAGTTACATAAGTAGTTTTTCAAGGATTGATATCAGCCATCCCTACATTTACTTCCTTTTTTGAAAAGCTTTTCTTTACTTCTTTGCTTGTTGTTGTTTTTGAATGCAGTGTTTCAATAGACGTAGGAAGGTTGTATTTAGAATCAAGTTCTAAATACAATGAGGTTCCAACTGTAGTATTTATTGTTCATCTATTATTGGCTGGTAATTCCTGTTTCACCCTGTAATTAAGCGTTTTAAAGGAACGCCATATTTTTTGTAAGAAAGCTAACTTCAAAGGGTAATGATAACATCGTTTACACTGGAATTATGATTTTTTTAATTACTACTAGTTATTAACAATACTTATAAAAGTGGATACTTCGTTTGAAACTATGTCACCTCAGTGAAATTGGTTGACAGCACTGTTTTGGTTTTGAGTTATTGTGTAATAAAAAAGAACAAGAAATTCAAACTTTTTGATATGATATTAAAAGACATTCCCAAAACTTGTGACTGTCATTACATAGATATTGTTCTAAAAAAGAAACACTGTATAGTATTGTAAAGTCCTGATGATCTATTGAGGAGATATTTAAAATACCATTTCGATTAACAATCAGAGCCATCCCTACATAGGAAATTGCTGCCACCTGCCTGATATTATGTTTTTGGATGATTATTATGTTTAATATCATTTACACATTTTCTGATTAGGTTTCTTTTTCGTTGTTAACGCCCCCCAGTGGCACAGCGGTATGTCTGCGGACTTATAACGCTAGAATCCGGGTTTCGATACCCGTGGTGGGCAGAGCACAGATAGACCATTGTGTAGCTTTTTGCTTAATTACAAACAAACAAACAAATTGTTAAGCGCAAAACTGCACAATGAACTGTTTGTGATATTCCCAACACGGTTATTGAAACCCGGTTTTTAGCGCTATAAACCTTCTAGCTTGCCGCTGAGACATTGGGGGCATCTAAATTAGATTACTCTTAATTTCTCCTTTTTTACTCCATTCAAGTAAAACTTTACTGAATGATTTACTAATTACTTGTTTGGTGCGGACCGTGCGTTTCCAATTCATTTTAGGATATTCTCGGAATTTTTACTCATCGGGGCAAAAATGTATTGGTTCAACGCATAATCGAATACTCAACTACGCGTACAGCCAACGGGGCCATAACGCGTTGTACCAAAGCGCAGAAGAATGTTAGGCAACGCGTTTGATACGTTACGGCCCCTATGGCTTGCCATACGCGTAGACAATTGGAGAATATATAGAGATGTACATTTGGATTGAGATGATAAAGTTTTGTGTTACTCATAAATGATTACGTTATCTAAAACGTTTCTTAGTTTTCTTTTTATCTTGATCGGCTCTTTATTCTTATTCTTCTTTCCACTGTTTCATCATTCATAGACATTTTTATCTCCATTTTATTTTCACCAAAATAACCTTCGATATTCGTGGTTGCCAGGGCACAGATAGACCATTGTGTAGCTTTGTGCTTAACTACAAACAAACAAACGAAACCAAAATAACCTCACTTCTGATACCTGTGCTGTAAAGGTTTTTATCACTAGGCGTTTAGAAACTGTTACAACATACCTCAAACTGTGATAACTGTTTTCATGCATACAGAGGCCATGAAATATGTACTTGCTTATCAACACTATTCAAACAATGTACAGGTTTAAAATTTGTGGTGTAAATCATGTAAGTTGCATTTTTTTCCACATTCGTCACATCTGTCCGTATCGGATTCAAAATCATAGGTATGTAAAAACAGCATTTCAGATCTATCTTTTGTCTCCCACAAGTCACTGGCCAAAAGATCTTTCGTTCAGTACCAGAACTAATCATTTGAGCTTGACTATGAGGGGCAAAAGATTCTCAGAAATGCTACTTATATGTACATTGTATAACTTTACAACTTACAGGTTTAAACGCCGAAAGCTAGCATTCGAAAACAACAGGTCTTAACTTTATGATTAAAATCCTATAAATTGCTTATGTGTTTTCCTCGTTCCTTTTAATCTGTCCAAAATCAGAGGCATGTAAAAACAGTATTTCAGACCTATATTTTGTCTCTAGCAAATCACTGTCCAGGATGCATTTCGTTTAATACCAGAACTCATCAGAATGCTTCGCAAGTCTTTGACATTTAAACCATAACTTTATTGTACAGGCTATTTATTTGCAAGTTTTTATTTTATTCTTCAAAATATACAATTTCACTGAAAAGGAGAAAAAAATCCGCTAATGACGTAAAGGCCTAAACTATTTTTTTATTCACTACTCCTTCTGCAGTAGACTATAATTTCCGCCGAATCACAGCTCACCAAGACTGATTGGAAAAGCAAATAAAAGAAATACAGTTATGCCGTTAACAGGGGTGGAATGTAAAAAATAAATAAATATATGACATAAAGACTGAAATGCGTAGAATTACAACAATTTCAAGCATACATTGTTGAAAGTTTAATTAAAAAATTCCCCCTCTTGTTGTCAAAACTACAGCAGGGCCTCTATTTGAAAAGTTGATGGGCACCTATAATCACTTAGGAGTAAAGGACTTTGCGTCAAAATGTATAGATTATCTTCTCTGAGGAGGTTACTAACAGTATTTCTATTATTATACTAGTTATATAAATAAAAACTATATATATATTTTTTTTCACACTAACAGTTTTCAATTTTACTTTTATATCATAGGAAGAGTACAATAACTGAATAAGTACGTTTAATCATTTCGGTACAACTGATTTTGACACTAGCATACAAATAAATATATAAAATATTAATGAAATCTAATGTATACATGGACTGAAAATAGAAAAAAAAAAGCATAATGACAAAAATCACTCAACTATGATTTGTCAGTGCAGGTTTGGTCAAAGCCATGGCCGTTTGGTAAGCCAATTCTGGTCGACGATCTAAGCCTTTTACCATATCTTGAACTTTATCATGAGTGACGATTACACAGTTGTGAGATACCAGCTTTTCTCGAGTGGCGGCAATTCCTTTAGGACATACTCCCCTTGTGGCATCTTCTACTACCACCGTTCGGTATCCGTACTCTACAGCATCTATAGCTGTAAAACCGACACAGACGTCATATGCTAAACCACAAATATAAACGTCTGTCACTTTTTTCGCCTTAAGTTCTGTCTGTAACTTTGTTTCAGAAATCTTTTGGTTGTCACGAAAAGCCGAATAACTGTCGATCTTTGAATGAATTCCTTTATGAATCATGACATTATCTGCAATCAATATAAGATCCTGATGCAATTTTGCACCCCAAGTATTCTGCACACAGTGTCGTGGCCAAAGTTTCTGTTTGGTTGGTGGAGATCCGTCAAAAACAACTTCGTCAAATAGTCTGACTTCTCTACTTGGTATGCTATTCAGGTGCTTAATTTTTCGATTTTCGAAATTTTCAAAAAAGGAAATATGATCAGCAGGATGCCAATCTACCGAATAGACCACACTCTCAAACCTAACAGATTTCAGTAAATTATTTATCACAGGAACGATCTCTTCGCCTTCATGGCCAGCAGGGCAGTGACGTAAAGCTAATGTTCCAGAAATAAAATCGTTTTGAACATCAATGACCAACAAAGCACTGACTGGATGAACAATAACTTTTATCCAGTCATACCAAACTATTTTCATTTCTTCTGTGTCAATTTTGCCATCTTTGTTCTGATCAAAAACACAGAACATATCCGACACCATAGACGAAGTTAAATAATAAGGTTCTCCTTTAGAATCTGTAAGAAGAGATTTTGCTAGTGCATTAAATTCTTGTAAGTCCAATCCTCCGTCCTTGTTTTCATCAAAGTTATTGAAGCATTGACGCAGATATTCGTCTTCATTATGAACTGGCAGTTCATTAAAAAATCCCATAAAAAAATTATTACAACTCATGACTTTACATATGTTTGCTATATATATAGATTATCGTCACAAATATAAATATTGCATAATAATTCGATTAAACCCACTATTTTTTACACAAAATTAGCCACATATCCACTTTTTACAGTTTGATCTTGTGATTTTTCTGTGGCAGACTAAACTAAGAAATCATATTCTCTACCATAATTAAATCCTATATATATATATATATGCAACACATCTAAAATGTACATTTTTCTTACGTACTAAGAGTTAGAAATAAAATCACAAGGTTGGTATTTTTGAATAATATTAAAAAAAGATTTTTCTAAATAGCCATATGATGAGCTACAGATATAATTATTATTGTTTTCTTTCTATATAAACGCTACCATTTCTACCTTGTACACTTATCGATCATGGAGTTAACACATCAAGAAAAAGTTTATCCCTGAGCTGAGCGTTTAGTATCTGAAGACGACGAACGACGAAAATAACATGAAAGCGTCCGACAATTTGAATAAAGTTCGATTTCCAGTGACAATATCAAACTGTTAAAGACCAACCTTCAGCAGCTGTATGTGCCGTATCATAAACATAGACGAATTTTCACCATAGTCTAAATACGTAATAAAAATAAGGCAAAAAACGTTTAATAATTTAAATTAGTTCTGTTAGTATTTGTCAACTACGATTTCACATCCTAATATGCTACCGATAGACAATAACTCTAATACCGTTGCTAAAGTAACTGAATTACGTATTCTTCTCCATGACGCACTTTTGCGCAAGCTCAGTTGCTTCCTTCTTCATACCGCTAGATGGCAAAGTGGAGCAAATGTATAGGACTATTTCATTTCTCAATCATCTAGATATGAAAAGTATGAAAATTTCTTTCGGAATGATAATATATATATATATTGTGCCATTGTTCAGTCTCAAATATATTTTTCAATATTCCGCACTTTTATTAAATTATTAAACAAATATTGCGCAAATGCACACTAAAGTGTCTTACATAAATAAACATGCTTTATTAGCAGGATATTTATGTATAAGCTTAATTACCTCATTCAACACATTTAGTTACATTCTTTCTTGAACGCAAATAAAAATCATTTGATTAAAATTTATTTAAAAATTTTGATATAATATCCTTTCTTAAATCAAAATAGAATATTTTTGCGTTTTCTTGCCTGCGATATATCGCATACATGTGCTTTGTTATTATCGTCATATATATATTCTTTACAATTATCTAATATAATTCTTTATGTGACACTTTATGCAGTAATTTTATTGAGTTGCTGTTGGTCAATGTAATGATGTGATGGAATGTGCTATTCGGTTTTCTGTTTACTTCAGGGGAAATTACAACATGCGCGTTTCTCTCAGAAACTATGGGTATTTCAATGACAATGTTAATAAACTTTAAGTGCGTTCTTTATTAAAGAATAGGAGTCATATGATAAATGACGAAAATATGGTAACACTGTGCCGCCAATGTTAAAGCTCAGCTAGAAGAGAGAATTGACGTTATGTATTTCGGCCAATCGTATCGAATAGCCAGTCTCGAAATGTCGAGCCAGTTTGTTGCATATCATTCATGTTATCGTTATTTATGTTCGATGTATCAAAGAGATAGAAAAATTAGCTTTGCTATATGGGCAATAAAATTTTAATACAATTTGCTTTTGTTTTTAGAAATAGCGAAATTGCATACTAAATGTTAACTTATATGTAATAACGAAACTATTAGACAACTGAATATTTATTATGTGTGAAACCTTGGGCGCTTAACTTTGTTTAAAAGTGGGGAGGGTCATGATAAGGAAAAAGTGGCGGTCCAGAAAATATTTTGCTATATCTATAATCAAAGTGAAGTGGCAAGCGCCTTTTCTGACCCCTGATTAGGCGTCCATGTGTGTAAGTTCAAATACAAAACAAAAATATTGTTACGTTCTCCGTTTTTTAATTAACTATTTTCCGTAACTTCGTACCGACGAAACTTACGCGACACAAGCCTTTACTTAATAAAACTGGTTTATTCTTTCCGAATATAACTTAACCGATACACTCAACAATCGCGCTAAACAAACGCTATAGCAACGAACGTCAATAATACTCCGCTATAGCAACGAACGTCAATAATACTCTGACCGCAGATCAATTACTCACTATCTCTCACACATTACATTTCTCTT